TTATTTGGTCTGAGGTTGCGCGTAACGCGGGCGTGCGTGTTCTTACGTTACTTGCAAGTTATCTTCATATTTTCTTAAATCTAAATAATTTTGCATAAGTTAGCCCATTTATCGATCTTCTTCGTAAATAAGGGATTTAACCAATACTTTATTAGGCGCTATTTCTTCTAATTTTATTATACAAAAACGAAACAGGTAATATAAATACAACATCCTAAATGTGCTGCATTAATAACCATTTTTTATTATATTGAAAACAATGCTCTGCAGTACCTAATACTCAAACTATTTTGAAATGAGGTCGGAGCCGGAGCACCGTATGCTGTACTGCAGTTCCGTGCGTTTATGCGGCGAAATCTGCACAATGAATTAATGATGCAGGGCCAAGCGCCTAACGGGATTGCTATGGCTATCCCGGCTTAAGGTTTTCAAATACCTCACGCTCATTTTATTTAATATTGTTATTACCAATGCAAAAGAAAAAAGTAGAGCGTGAGGCATTAGAAAACCTTCGGTGGTCTGAAATAACAATATGTAATCGTAAACGATAGTGGTACCATAGCAATCCCGGCAGGGATAGACCTCTTGAAGTCGCGCAACTACACGCGTGGCTCCGGTCGCCACGCACCCCTCAGCGTAGTCACAATGCCCCGGCATTGTGAGATTCGCCTTATCTGGACAAAACAAATCATTGGACAAAACGAGCACTTCGCGTGTTCGCGCCATTTTGTAATTATTCCGTGTTTTGTTTTCTACTCCCTAGTAGATGGCGCTGTCACAGCTTTCCGCATTTGCCGCAGAGCAGCGCTGCGCAAACTTTCCCCATTTCAACAAATGCGGTTCGTTTAAAACTCGCCACGTTACTTTTTCAGTATGAAAGGTAACAATGTTGGTATGGAGTTTCACACAATGGAATGGAATGAGTCGCGGATTGTTTGGTGCGCGCTTTAGTAATTTACACAAACTCTGTAGTTAAGTGGAACTAACTTGATGTGTACCCAACTTGCCAGCACTTGCCTCCGTATGATGAACTTTAGGAACTAAAATGTATACTTAATAAATCGTTTTAACTTTAAGAGGGGGTGTATATGTATTAATCTATATGCAAGTCACAAATCATGGTTTGTTTTAAACATGGACTAACAATTTTCTTCATTCCCCATGCTTTTTATTTTATCTTTTCCATTTTAATATAACGAAGAATTTTCCTATAAATAGGTACTAGATACAGCAATTGAGGCATATTATACAAAACAAACTCATCACAGAGCAGTACCCCATTGTTCTTTAACATCTCGAAATGAAGTTCTCAACCAAAATCACGGCTAAATCCATCAATCCACCACAGCAGTGAAGTAATTAGGGCTAATTATTCCCGAGTTCGATTCCCACGGCGCTGATTATGCGGAAACCGTACCAGATTAATGGCATAATTATCTTTGATGAAATCCTTGCCTGCCAACCACACACTTTGTTTGTTTATTATTCTTGATAGGTACCAAGGGTACACAGTTAAAAATTGCGAAAGAGGGCTACATCTAGCCAAAAAACGGCGAAGTGTTAACTTAATTAAATAATAAATGGTAATGAAATCCTCCACGATGGCAGTCCACGATGGCAAAGTTGAAATGCTTGTGTACCTACTTACTAATGTAATCAATGGATGTTAACGCCATCTATCCTTCGAAGAGAGAAGCTGCAATCGGTCCATCATCATTGTCCGTTCATACATTCATTTCGTACCCATTCGTTACTACATTCACTCATTTTGATTTATATAGATTCACTCTCCCTCTTGCAATTCGAATTCAAAAAAGAGAACGTACGCACATAATTTCATTAAGATCTGTATTTTACTATGAATAATATTTTATAATCTGATTATCCGATTTTTATTGAGAACTCCACATATAGAAGGCATCAAGCTATCGAACAATGAAGTTGAGTTTACGCAGATCACAAGGCTTGCCAGATGGCCGGGAAACCCGGGATTGTCCCGGAATTTTGCGTGTAGTCCCACGTCCAGTAATTAGACCTTAATATCCCGGATACCGATAATGTTACAAAATACTAGTTTCATACTATTGCTAGTTTCGTAACAAAATAAACTAATAATGAATGACACCGCTGGCCGGCTTGATGTTTTAATTCTAGGGGGCGATGGGGGGTTTGATTTGATGCTTTATTTTTTCAGGGGTGGAGGGGTGTGAAATGTCACGGAATTAATAGTGCCAGCATCTGGCAACCTCACAGATCACACACACCTGGAAGAGTATTTGGCGGGATTTCATCGAGTGCGGTTGGCGTCTTATTTTAATTATTCTTAAATTTGTTCATAGTGGATATTGTGAAATAAAATTGGTGTACTTTTGTGTTACAACAGTGCGCAATTAAAGAATTAGTGGAATCTTTAAAATATACGCTATTCCGGTCAAGTGGACGTGAGAACTTTATTGTAGTATTGACTACCTCATAGAAGCTTATCGATAAAGCCAACTCGATATATTTCGTGCCAAACACTCCAAGAAGCATTAGAATACGTCACACTCACATTCCAATGTAAAAAAAAGGAAGATTAATACAAAAATAAGACGATGGCTGCATGGCTTTGCCTTTGCCTTTCTCAATAGAGAAGAACAGAACTAAAAAAAAACTAACACACACCTGGAGAGAATTATCTGCGAAACCAATGTCATGCAATGACGAAGAACTATCTGAGTCTATTGATATAGCTTATTACCCTTCTTGTTCGCTAGCTAAAGCAGTTTACCTAACGAAAAGATTAGCATCTGCAGTTTTAGGTAAGCCACAAGTGGCAAGATTGATCGCAGTTCCCTACTCTGTAGGATAATCAATTACGACACAAGCTTACCAACAGCTGCGGCACCGCATCTCATCCATCCATATCGTTTTTATTTCAATAAGTAAAATATTAGATATAATGCTTTAGGTATTATTAACCAATTAATTTTAATGCAACATTAAAGTGTTTGCTTTGAATGTAAAATGTAAAAGAGTATTTAGGGTCCCCGTTATCAGAGTGCGTTCCGCTTTTGCACAACGCTTTCCTAGTCACATGCTCCCGTATGTGTATAATAAAATGGCAAAACTGTGTGACATAAAAACAGCTACATTGAAACAAGTCAAACGCGTGCTCACTAAAAGGCTGAAGTGCATGACCTACCTTCAAACAGAGGACCACCTTATTAAGCACACAAAATAAGACCAACATCTCATCGATACATTCCTATCCCAAACTATATCCATTCTTCTCCACATACACACACACACACACTAACACACGCACACACACATGCACACATACGCACGTACGCACACACCAACACACACACGCACGCAAACACACATGACAGACATACACATACATAATAATAATAAATAATATTTCCGACACACACCAATTAGCCTAGCCCCAAAGTAAGCACTATGAGGCTTGTGTTATGGGATGCTAGGGTAACGGATAGAATACATAAACTGTACATATATAAGTATATTTATATAGAAATAGATATTAAACATCCATGACTGGAGTACAAATGTTCGTATTCATCACACAAACATCTGCCCCCACCGGGAGTCGAACCCTGGACCTCTCGAGTCGGCGACACCATGAAACCCGGCGTACAAACCACTCGGCCACGGAGGTCGTCGCTAAATACAATATTGATTTTAATTTAGTATTTATAATTGATTTCATAACGTTTGTTTTGTTACAAATAATAATTACATATAAATTATGAATGTGACGCCATCTTATTTATTATATTAGGGTGCCCACGATACAGGTTTCTCCTAGTGTGGGACCCACAGTCAATGCTACAGTATTGTTAATGATAAATTAATGAAATGGAATAAATGTGTGCTCCGTGACTTGCCCGATTAGCAATATGCAAATCGACATGACGTTGCTAACACAAATCGGTTAGGCGCCTAAATCGACAAAAAACAAAAACATTATTCATTTTCTAAAAGCTAAGTGAATAAAATGATTATGTATAAGAGTGAAAATAATATCGTAACTAACCTTCTCATAAAATAACATCTAAGTACCTAGCTCCATACAATAAATCGAAAAGAAACCATATATCTTGGTAACTTAATAAAAGCAGCGGCCATCGAATAAAAAGTATGAATAAAACCGAAACTAACATATATCAAGTTGAAAAGATACTCCCATCGCAAATAAGCAGTTATTTTTCCAATTTACTGTTAACAAAATACGGTGGTGATCCCAAAGTTTTCGCATAAGTTGCCAACTTTCGAGTTTTTCCTCGCTACATTCCCAACCCGGCCCTTTTGACCGCAACACATGTCGTTGAACACCACAAGGCTATTTGCATGTAAATTGGATGCCTTCCACAATTTTTTGTCCCCCTTAGAAAGTCAGAAACATTTTACCATTCATTCATGTGAAATAATATATTCGCGCGTTACTAGTTTGGCTGAATTTGCAAACTGTTCTCAGTGACATCTGTGGAGCGTGGTATATAATTAGGTGATTAGGTGTATGTTAGTTTATTGAACTAAGGCTAGATGGCGTTAACTGCAACGTATAGGGTATTAGCATTTGAAGATAATTTATTAGGTACTGACTGATAGGTACTGCTGTCTTTGAATTTTTCAAACGTTTATCAATACGTTACAATTTCTGTAAAAATATAAAAATCTTCGAAGCTTATATTAATATGCGATCAAAAACATGGTATTCCCTATAATCTCCGTTTTTGATCAGCAATAATTGTCAATCTATTCATACTTTAATTCATAATTTCATTTCATACATCGGAATAATCAAATTTTATGCAAAAATGCAATAAAACCGAAAATACTACTTTTGAATCCTTTGTAAACAGATTGTAATCATTATTTTGAACTAATCCAATATCTCCCGTATGGTCTAGTGGCTAGGATACCTGGCTTTCACCCAGGAGGCTCGGGTTCGATTCCCGGTACGGGAATTTCTTTTTGTTTTTTTTTACCTTGCAATTAATATGATCTTGTGTGCATAAACTTTTTCTTCTGCTGTTCCCAAGATGAAGACAATATCTGAAGAGTCTTGATCTTCCGATAGACGCTGGAGGTCTCTTAGTAATCCTGGTAAGCCAGCCCGCTCCACCGACGCAGTACAACAGGTTCCTGTCACTCGGTTCGCCATGGCCGCACACAACACTTTCCTTTTGCGAAAAATCTTGAAAAATCTCAGTCAAAATCACAACCACAACAATTAATAACCTAAAACGGAAACATCACCAAAATCCGCAAAATACTGTCTTTAATGACTAAATCTATTTAGTACGCAATTCCAGAGTTCATTTCAACACAAAAGTAATTGATTGTTATAGGAACTCGAGTCAATAAACACAAAAATTCACGAAATCAAAGTTCGATACGTTTGTCAACATAACCTCAATCGTTTTACTCAGCCAGGTTAGCTGTGTTTCGTAAATAATTTGAAGCTACACAGAAGGTTTTCCAACAAGGAATTGTGTCGGATTTTGCTCCAAAATAATGCAGGCACTGTGTGACACAGAACCATTTCATACTGCTATTTGAGCTTTGAATAGTTACAAAACCGGTTAGCGCTTTCGCAGGTATAATTTACTTTATATTGCTATCTTTGTCTAATATTTACATCTTATAGACTTTCGATACTGTATCAACATTTGAACCAATATAGCAACTGCCTCCGTGGCGCAATTGGCTAGCGCGTTCGGCTGTTAACCGAAAGGTTGGTGGTTCGAGCCCACCCGGGGGCGTTCTATTTTGTGCTCCATTTCTTTTTATAATTAAAGAATAAAAAACAATTACCTAATTATTTGAGGTTTTTTGAGAAGTGTTTATTCAATCGATATTTTTTTAATATTCTGCTACTAAATTGTTGACTTAAAAAAAAGTGACGCGAACACGGGTGCGGTGCAAACCACTCTCGGTTTTTGACTTCAAAGAAACACCCGGAGATTCTTAATTCGTCATTATGTATTTGTTTTTTTATATTTCATTTAGCTAAAAATTTTGAAAATAATAACCCTTTCTAGGTCGTTCATTGATAACAAGGGACTCATTATTTTGTGTGGGTCGAAATGACCAAGGACAATTTGGTAAAAACAACATTAATTCACATTAATTTCATTCAGATTAATTAAAGTGTGTGAAGTGTACAGAAAAATACATAAACAAAACTAGATACAAGTAAGGTATGAACTGAAATCAGAAAAAAAAATATTTTTTTACGAGTAATTCAATGAAAGGAATTTGCGAAGCTTTTTGTATATATATTAATCAAAACTTTTTTTGATCACAGGCCAATAACTTCGGTATTCGAAATAATATATATTGTAAATGAAGTATTGCGTGAATTCTTTACCACGATTTACTCTATTTACCACATAAATATAATGCGAATGCATAAGCTCGAAAATAGGCCGCAGAAACTTGAAACCGACAAGCGGACGCGACAGCCGACACTAGGATTTTGGACGCGGCAGCTGAGCGGCACTTCATGCGAATAGAAATGCGCTGTCAGCACAGCGTTGCGAACAGGGGCTGCAGCAGGAGCCAGTAACGTATCTAGCCCTTGGGTCCTTGAAGAAATAACTCATGCACATTTTGTGAGTGCAGGACCTTATTTTTATATTTATTTTATTATTAACGGGAATATACAATGCTTCGCCCTATGATTCTGCATGTGTTTTCAGGTAGGTCCTGGTATTTACATATACGGCAAATGGTCACAATGTATATTGAAGAAGTCAGTATTAGACCTATGAAAATAGTGAGAAATATTGACGTTAAATACCTACCTTCTTCATTCTGCCAACTTCAATTTGGAAAAAAAAGCTTCATCATTGCTAATATATTTTAAAGGGCCCCAAATAATGTGCGGTGGACACCTGATACAATAGTTACGCCCCTGGTTGCATGCACCGCGTTAGTGACAGCTCGGAAATTGCATCCCGAGTCTTGTCACTAGCCGCGCATTGCCGCCGCCCTGTCACCCGGCACCGCCACCACTTCCGAATCTGAGCGGTCCCAAAGACCACTGCGCTGACTGAGCTTTAGCTATTTAGTTTATTTATTCAAGGATAAAATTCATATTATGAGCTCAGTATTCACGATGAATAATAACATGGTTTACTACGTTTTATTAGTATTGAGAAACCACCAATCAAGTAGTCAATGTAGTGTCATTATGAAGAAGCTTTTCTATGTCAATGACAATATCGTGTAAGTTTGGTAGGTACGCAGTTATAATATCGCCTGAAACAAATAAGATTTTGCCATGAACACGTACTTACCTAAATATGATTTTTTACAATATGATTGTTTGATAGTACTATATATATGAATTGTTCTTAGCAAAATAGTAGTTCCATAACTAATATCGGAACCAAGATATTTGATCTTGAATTCTAACAAAAGTCATATGATATAAAACCTCATTAAATTATCTCCTGAGATTATTATACATGTTTAGTATTGTGGTAACGCTTTCTTAAAATGACAATATCGTGTAAGTTTGGTAGGTACGCAGTTATAATATCGCCTGAAACAAATAAGATTTTGCCATGAGCACGTACTTACCTAAATATGATTTTTCTTATAGCCTAAGTATGTTTTTCTCTCTTTTGATGAAAGCACAAAAGAAGAGAAAAAACACACCATATTTTTTTAAAGATAGCACAGAATCGGAAGCTCTATATTTTTATTTTTATATATGACATCAGTAAAAAACTTATATTTACAACCTAAACAATTCAGCGAAAGTACCTAGGTATTTTCTACATAGCATTATTGCTGAAAAAGAAAGTTTTTATTTATATGGTAAAATCATTGAAGTAATTCATTTTACATTGTGGAAACCGTCAACCATTTTACAGATGGTTTTTTAATAAATAATGAGCCCGCTTCGACGCGAATCACAATTCGAGCGCACCTAGTTTTTTTTATTAGGATATAGATGCGGCATATTTTGCTGTTGAATGGCCCCGCTGACTGATTTATCGCTCCAGTCTGGTTTCTGTGAACGTCACCATACATTAGTAACGTTTAGTAAATAGTTATAAAGAAGAGTGCTCGCTGTGTATAATAATTCCATCAGTTTGTTTTCGTTTCTGCTCTAAGCTGAAGTCGAACGGTCTCGATGACGCGTTGATGGCTCCCCGAGAGCATTGAGTGTAATCGTGGGATCATAATTCGCTCTTTGTTTTTTTATGTCAAGGTTACATTAAATTAGACGTTCGGCCGTCGATAAATTCAATTAGATCATTCAATACAGCCGTATTATTACAGCGTGAAACGGTTTTTTGGATGTTTTTCATGACCGGTATACTCAGTTTATCAATCTTTGTATTTGTATATAGCTGCGATTATATCAATCACTGTCAAAATCAGTAGCTGGATTTTGATAAGTGAATTTGCTTATGATAATGTAATCAATAAATGGATTATTTCCTTTTCGTGGTTGCTGTCTGGTATTTGTTGACACGTGTAGACGCGATAAGGGGGAGACGAGTCAATAAAACTTACAGAATTGTTACATTAAATATGCCATCGAAACGATAAAAAATTTAGTAGATTTAGAATATACTGACTCAGTTCTATCACTAGAGATAAAGTTATACAAGTAGTATTTTAATATATGTGATTTACAACTCACATATAAATCAAAATAGGAAGCAAGCGATTGAATGTAGATAAAAAATATTACCTAATATTATAAATTTAGCATATCTATGAAATTAATGTGTCTTGTTTTATTTAGATAGTAAATTATATTTAAATTTGGGTTTTAAGTCAAGGAGATGTTATTGAACTATTCTTATAGCACTTAATTTTTAATTATTATTAAATATTATAATGAAAAATAAAGAATCATACTCATAGTGGATAAAACAGTTTATACATTAGAGAGTAGTGGGGATCCAGGGATATTTTCTTCGAAAATAATTGGTTTCTCCTACAATCTATTATCTTTGATAACTTACAATTAGCTTAATAATTATGTTACTAATTGTTAAACTTCACTGTCGTAATAATGATCCTTTACGATCACGTAAAAGATAGAAGGTATAAAGCTTCGAATTAATAGTTCTTGCGGTCGTATAAATCTTCATAAAAACTATTGCCGAAAGTTAATATCTACAACGAACACCCTCAAATCGCAGTCAAATCAAAACAAACGACAGCAACAACCATCCCTCGTTCATTGTGGGGAATAAGAAAACCAATTAGAAGGGAGCTTCTAAACGTCACCTAACTGTTGAATATGAATGGCGGGACGAGACCCATGCACTCGCCCGATGCGATCTGCCCGCAATTATGGCACAAAAGAATCAATTACACGCCGCGCCGCCAAAGCAGAATGAAAACAATATTGCACTCGCAACGCTTTAGCTCTTTGCGCGTTTCTGTACCTTGCCTTGCGATATCAGTGCCTTTGAAGCGGGTAGACAAGACAGCGGCCCTGGATTGTTCCACCCACCTTGACAACGAGGAAGCTATAAATATGGACATAATCAATTAAAATGAAAAATTGTTCAATCAATAACATTTAACTTACCTCACATATTGTAAAAGTTTTCTTATTTACATATAAAGCCACACGTTGGCAAAGTCCATGCTTTCACCAAAACTTATTTATTATTTCAATACATTTTGAATTTATTTTAATTTTTTTGTGACCCGGTACTAGTTTTTATTGTACAGACAGCCACACATTGTTACCACACACTGACAAATTTTCACCATACATTGTGAATCTAATACGAGGTAAAAGCTCATAGTCACTTGGAGAAAATTGACAATTTTGGTTAACCTGACCCGTGGCTGTCCGAACACTATAGTATAGTTTTTGTTCTCATCTCTCGTGAAATATTATTTATGTGATGATGAAATCTGCACGAAATCCGTTTATTAGTTTATAATATTATTGCAAACATACAGAAAAACAGATGCAGTGAGTGATTTTGTTTTAAATCATGAGGTAACTGTAATTGAATTAGTAAGCTATGTCATTGTGACGGTAAAACTATAAATGGATAATGGCGTCGATGCTGCCGTGATTCTCTAAACCTAAACGTAAATTTCCTTTTCATTTTCTTAAATTTAGTTTTAAGTTTATATAATCATGTCAAAATCGACACCAATGCCTATAATTATGGGATACTGATAGTTTAACGATCCATCTTCACGAGGAATAATAATATGACTTGTTCGTCTAAATAGTAACTATTTTAATGAACGTCACAGATCAATGTGTTGTTGATCAGTCATGCTCTCATAATAGTCCTTCGGCGGTGTCGTGTGAGGCGGGTCGTTACGTTCCCTAAAATATGGTTGAGCGAAGCGATGGCTGGTTCATGCGTCATGCTCGTGAACGGGTGCTGCCAGCGGAGATGAGTCTGCCCTAACTTCCTTAATATTGAAGTTAATGTTTAGTCACACTGAATATAAATAACACTATTTGTATTTATACTGTATGACACAGCAATCAAAATGCAGGTAAACAATTAAGGTATATTTAATAATTATGTAATGAAAAGTGACTT